TCTTCTTTCGTGAAGGTGATTGGGACTCTGGACCAATCTGTGTATTTTGCTGGGCCTTGGACTGCTACGTTGTTTACCAGGCGGAGGTGATCTTTTTCTGCTTTTTCGTTTGAAACTCCATTGACGATCCTCCGGCAATTGGCAGTATCATGCCTATTGTTGGTAGCGGTCCATGGGGGTTGACTTGGTTTTCTAGGTTTTTTGCTTTTTTGGTGTTGGGAGTTGGTTGTGAGTAGGCGGCGGAGGCGGTTGTTGAATGTGTTCTTTATTGCGGCGGAGGCTCGAACCTCTTTGTGGTTTTGTGGCGGTGGGTTTGTTTGAGGTAGGTTATGGGGAGGATTTGGGTTTATGTAGGTCAGGCTTGCCTCCGACCTGTAGTTGCTGCCCGGATCTTTCTTCTTGGCGTTAGCCGCCATCTTTGGTAGGAAGTTTGGGTAATAGGCGGAGGCCGGTGTGGAGGGATGTATTTGGTTTGCGTTTAGCCTTTGGATACATTGGGCGCATCTTCTTGGTGGCCGATTATGTAGGTGGTGTTGACCTCTCTTGCGCTCTGCTGTGTCGGAGGCTGTGCAGTCTGCTTGTTCTTCATTCTTTTCTGTGTCGCTTTTGTCTCCGGACAATCTTTGGTGTTGTGCCCTGCGCTTTTGCAGTGAAAACGCGTAATATGGCCTGCGTTGTTTCTGCTTGTTTTTGTCCCAGTTTTTGCCTTGGTAGCCTTGCCGACCTTGGTTCCTGGTTTGGGTCTCTGGTCCTGCTGGCGTTGCCAATTGCCCTTGTTCAGGTTGAGGTTGACCCTCAATGTTGAGCACTTGCCTCTGGCCTGTTTTCTGATTTGATGCGTTCTGGTTCGGGTAGCTCTTCTGGGAGTTTTTACTGCTGCTTTGCTGTCTGTTTTGACCCTGCTCCTCCAGCCTTTTCCGGAGGTCATTATCTGATCTGCAGTATTTCTCGAACTCGTCATACAACTGTTGTATGGAATTTGGTTTCTTTCTTGCTAGGTGTGCTACGAATGGCCCGATTCGGAGGCCTTTGATCGCTGCTTCAATGGCGATCTCATCTGGGATGTCTGGTGCCTTCGCCTTTACTTGCACGAATTTCGAAGTAGTCATGTAGTGTCTCTCCCTCGCATTTGCTTGCTTTGGAACAGATCCGTGGATGTCGCGATTGTCAGCGGCTAGTCCTTTGAAGTTTGCCAATATTTTGTCCCGAAGGTTTTCCCAAGAATAGACCGTGCTTGGTTTGAGCATGGAATACCAAGTTAACGCATGCTGCCGCTTCGGCAACAATGATAAAAGACTTTGCCAGGACGGCGTCGTCTCCGCCGGAGGTGGAGGCTCTGCTGCCTCGTAACTCATGATGAACTGATGGGGGTCTATCTTTCCGTTGAATTTTGGCAGTGTTATTGGCTTGTACGCTGTTGGCCATGGCGACTGTTGTATACCTTCTAAAAGTGGGGACTTGGGATCGGTAGGCCTCCACGTCACTTGAGCTGGCATTGTGGGCTGGTTGATCACTAGCGGAGGCCCCGTGGTATAGTTCTTTATTCTTGCGCGGAGGTTGAGGTGGCATTGCATGTTGCATACTCAAGCATGTAGGACCCGCCAACTATCTAATCTAATTTCGCCGCTTGTCTTTGATGCTTGAGTAGCTTGTCGATTGGTCGCAAACGCCTGCTGCCATTATGTCTCTCTCTTGTTGCGCTCTCTCAAGAATCGCTACCGCAACGGTTGCGATTCTTGGTCGAGTGTTGCACTGGATTTGGTTGGGCCTCCGGACCTTGGATTTTGGATCTTGGGGCTCCGGTGGTTGACCACAGGCATCTGCTGCGTCTTGACCTCCATTTGGCGAAGTTGCGAGGTGCTACTGAGTGGTGCGCCTAGGCCTTCTTTTCGACCCGTGGTGGCCGCCTTTGCTCTGGTGGTGGTTTTTTTTTCCTGCCATCTTTGGTTTGCCTTGGCCAACCACGGTGGGTGCCAATGTTGAAACTTGCGGTTTCAGACATGAGTGATAGGGGCTCTCGCCTGCGTGGGTGGCTGTCCTCAAAGCGGAGGCTCGGTTATCTGAGAATGATCATTTGGGCGTGTAAGGGAAAGGGCACAGAATGCTAGGGTTTCATTAATGCATTTTCCAACCACCCTGCTGCGGTTACAAGTGTTTCCTATTTATAGGGCTCAACTACTTCATGACATAATTTATTACAATGCCTCTTAACTCACTCTGTACATTCATGGAATATTCCGCCGCTAGCCTCTCGTTTATGGGCAATCCCGCCATACCGTCTCCGAGTAATGGGCCTCCATGAGCAGTCGGCCCACCATGCTTCGGTCTTTGGCCCAAAGGCCTGGGTCCCCGGTGCTGGCCTCCATCTCCAGGGGCGCCACACTATCTTGGCGGTTCTCCGTCGGCCGGTCGGAGACATCTCCCATGGTCTCCGCCCGGCCTGTGAGGGCCATGTGTGTCGACGCTGGCCTCCGCCTGGGGCGCGCCGTCGCCTGGCGGGTCTCCGCTTGGTCGGTCGGAGGCATCATCCATGAGCCTCCGCCCGTGCCTGAGGCTAGGGCTGGGCCTTCATGTGGTCCCGGGCACCAGCGCTTGAGTACCTGCACACAATTAGGCAAGATCGTTGTTTAATTAGTTTGGAGGTGAGGCGGCCTTCGCCCTCCTGGCCGGAGGTGCCCTCGTATCCTGCGTGGATGCTGGGTCTCCGCCACCCGTGGTGGCCATGTTACAACACAAATCAAAATGTTGCCAACTACAAAATTTCATAACTTTTCAAGATCTACAAAGTTTATTTTGGTCATTTGTTCATCCGACATGGTAGTAGTAACATTGTTCACAAATCTTATATATCTCTCTTTTACTTTCATAAAACTAATATGAGAGATATGAGAGATGTAGATTTTATGAACAACGTTATTGTCGCTTTGTCAAATAAAGAAATGACCAAAATAAACTTTGTAGATCTTGAGAAGTTATACAACTTTGTAGTTGAAAAGTTTTTCATTTGAATTCATTTAGGGCCTCAAAAATTATTTTGAAAAACTGATTTGCCGAGGGCCAAAAAAAATGCACACGGTAAAATGCCTCTTTGCCGAGTGCCAAAACAAAGGCACTCGACAAAATACATCTTAGACGCATTTTGTCGAGTGTTTTTTTTTTTGCCGAGTGTATTTTATTTGGCACTCGACAAAGACCATCTTTGCCGAGTACCTGATAAAATATACTCGGCAAAGCCTCCGGCACTCGGCAAAGTGCCAGTTTCCGGTAGTGAAAAATGGCATCGATATTACTGTAACATTTGAAACGCAATAATCAAATCGAAAGCACATCGACAATGATTGAATACCATCAAAACCATACTAAAAAAACGATAAACACGTCAATCTACAGCTCATAGTTGGATGCATGTTACGTAGCAATAACAGTGCCAGTAGAAAGCAGAATACCAGATCTACTACTTCACAGATATAGGGGCCTTTGACAACGAAAGGAACAATAAACCTAACATATGGCTACAGTGTAAATGTACTCCCTCCGTCTCTTAATATATGTTATTTTCATTTTTCGAGAAACAACTTTGACTAAATATATATAAAAAATATTAGTATTTATGGTACATAATTAATATCATTAGATAGATATTTGAATCTAGTTTTTAATAAATTTATTTAGACATACAAATGTTGCATGTATTTTCTAAAATTTGAGTCAAAATTTGAGACAGAGGGAGTACAGCATTGCTAACGAAACTGCCAAAGAGAAGCAGTGCCAACAAGCAACAGACCATGACTGGCTACCAACGTTGGATCCGATGACGTACTGCCCTGATGGCTGACGCAGCATGTGAGAGGCAGCGAACACGTCACCTGACAAAAGTCAAAGTGAAACTTATGTTCAAGACAAAAGTCATGTGAAACACTCTTGAGCCGTGCATTGGAGCCAAGGTAACAACCTACTCTCTCTGTCCCAAAATATTTGTGTCGTTCTCGCTTTTCAATAAGTCAAGTGTTTTTAACTTTAACCAAACATATATATGAAAATGTTAACATTTATAGTAGATAATTAGTATCGTTAGCAGATCTTTGAATCCAGATTATAATAAACTTGTTTAAAGATACAAATGTTGCTAATACTATCTACAAATCTAGTCAAACTTAAGAAAATTTGATCGGCACGATACCATAGCGATACTTATTTTGGGACGGACGGAGTACCACGCAGGAATACCATAGCAATACAAAAATGTGTTAACAATACTAGCTACCCGGCTGCCCAACCGCCAGCGGCTCATGGGATCGATAAATAAAAGAACTAGAACATATTATGCGCGTTGTTATTTACGGAGATTGCGAAAAATAATAATAAAATTAAGTAGAGATGACATGGATAACTTGCATTAAGAGGTTGAAAGTTAGTGGCATGACATGTCTATTAGTGAAAGATGATGTGGATAATTAGTGGAACATGATGTGAATGTCTTGTATGTTGAGATAGAACTTGAGATGACGTGGATAGCTTGCATTAAGAGGTTGGAAGTTAGTGGTATGGCATGGATATTAGTGGAAGATGATGTGGATGTCTTGCATGTTAAGATAGAACTTGAGATGACGTGAACAGCTTGTATTAAGGGGTTGGAAGTTAAGTGGTATGACATGGCTATTAGTGCAAGATGATGTGGATGACTTGCATGTTGAGAAAGAACCTGATATGAGATGTGAATAGCTTGCATTAAGAGGTTGGAAGTTAGTGACATAACATGACTTTTAGTGCAAGATGATGTTGATATCTTGTATGTTGAGATAGAACATGTAGTGGGGATTAACTTTATAAAAGATATAAATATACAAGGCTCACGTAGATAGATTACTGATGATGTGTGCATTCATGCGAGCTTATATATTAGACAGGGGATCTAGGCCGTCTTCTCCAAGCAGCTCCAAACCAGCGAGGTAGTAGCAGCCATCCTCTTCGACCCGGCCGTCCAATCCAGAGCCATCGAGATGACCACCAGCGGCCCCGTCCCACTGGTCTCGCAGGTGCAGCGCAAGCCACTGACATACACCCCAAGCCCATGGGGTGACTTCTTCCTCGAGCACATCCCATGCACTCCATCACAGGTACAAACAAGCCGGTCACCATTGTTCCCTTTCTGCAAAACTTGAACATGTCATCATTTTGCCAGCATTTCCGCATTGATGCAGTAAAAAAATGGAGAAATCGTCAAAAAAGGGTTCTTGTGAACTAGACTTTTCTGATCCCCGTTAATAATCAAATTGTCCTTTGCAGTTCTTGTCAATGAAGGAGAGGGCACAGATCAAGAAGGAACAAGTGAGGCAGATTGTATTAGAAACCGTTGCCACCTCCAACCTGATACAGAAGATGGAGCTCGTCGACACGATGCAACGGATCGGGCTGGACTACCACTACAAGAAGGAGATCAATGATTTGCTTTGCTCTGTCTACGATGACAAAGATGGAGGCTCTGACAACCTCTACATCACCTCGCTGAGGTTCTATTTGCTCAGGAAGCATGGGTACGGAGTCACTTCAGGTATGTAAGATCGTCAACTAAGAACTAACCAGTATATGTTTCCTTTCATAGAGTTTTTTTAGAAAATGGAAAAATTTCAGCCTCTTTGACTACATACAGCTAAATCTTACAATGTTTGTCAGGTTATTTTGCTGACTTCCTTTCATTTGAGCTGTGTTGACATATGCATGAATGAATGTTCAATTATGTGTGTGCAGGTGTGTTTGAGAAATTCAGGGATGAGCAAGGGAACATTTCAAGTGATGATGTCAGCTGCTTGCTGATGTTGTATGATGCTGCGCATCTGAGAACTCGTGGGGAGGATATACTTGACAACATCATCACTTTCAACAAGAGCCACCTCCAATCTCTACTGCTGCTGGAAAATTTGGGGCCAGAGCAACAAGACGAGGTCCAGTGCACTTTGGAAACACCTCGGTTCAGGCGGGTCAGCAGAGTCGAGGCAAGGCGCTACATCTCAGTATATGAGAAGAAGACTACACGGGATGCGACCATACTGGAGTTTGCAAAACTAGACTACAACATCTTGCAAGCTATCTACTGTGATGAGTTGAAAGAACTTACAGCGTAAGGAAACCACACATTGGTATTAGTAAATTGGCGGTAATAATTTACTTAATGGAGTTGCTTACTTATTTCGCCAGCTAATAATACACATTTACTTGACAATGTATAGATGGTGGAAGGATTTCCAATCACGAATAGATCTGTGCTTTACAAGGGACAGAATGGTGGAGCTGCATTTTTGGATGCTCGGAGTGCTTTTTGAGCCTTATCACTCATATCCACGGCAAATGATGACAAAGTTTTACATAATCATGACCTTAATTGATGACCTTTATGACAACTACAGCACCACAGAGGAGAGCGATATCTTCACTACGGCCATGGAAAGGTTTGCCTAGCTACTAGATATTATATGTTCTTAAAGTCAGATTACATGTAACTAAGATGAACAAAACTTATATATGCGTCACCGAAGTTTACCTTGCTTGAAAAAACTAATGACAGGTGGGATGAAGAAATCACAGAACAGCTTCCAACATACATAAAGGCACTCTTCATCAACATACGTAACACTACAAATAAGATCGAGGAGGAGTTAAGACACAAGAAAAACAAGCATGCTGAATTGTTCAAGAAACTGGTAAGCTGCTCCTAAAGATCACATTAAGGAAACATGATGAGTTTTCTCAATTAATTTTAACATCCTTATATTTAACTATTTAGGTGATTGACATGGCTAAAAACTACCATGCTGAGGTGAAATGGCGAGATGAACATTTCATTCCAACCAATGTTGAAGAGCACCTCCAAATTTCCTTGCCTAGCAGTGGTTGTATGCATATGACAAATCTTGGGTTTATTTCATTGGGAGATGTGACTACTAAGGAGGATGTTGAGTGGGCTCTCACCTTTCCAAAAATCATTAGAGGTGTCTGTATCGTGGGGCGTGTCGGCAATGACATCGTGTCGCATGAGGTTTAGAAAATCTCTCCATCTATACATACAAAATTCTTGTAAATGATAGTTGCAAAACATTTATCAGTAGTGTAAAGGTTATATATATTTAGTGCAATTAGACATTTGCCTTCTTTTATATTTTCTAACTATCCCTACTCGTTTGTCCCTTGAAGCGTGAACAAGCTAAGGAGCATGTGGTATCCACAGTGCAAACTTACATGAACCAATATGAGGTGACAGTAGAGGAAGCCAACAAAATGCTTAAAGTTATAATTGAAGAAGCATGGATGGATATTGTTGAAGAATGCATCGAGCACAAACGTCCTATGGCACTTTTAGAGGTAGCAGTCAATGTTGCCCAAACAATGGATTTCATGTACAAGAGTGAAGACGCATTCACCCTTTCATTTAGCCTCAAGAACACTATAGCTTCAATATATGTCAACTCCGTGTGAGCTTATTGATCCAGCATTAGTAACCAATACTTTTTTTAGCGTACGTGGGTGTGCTTAAGGTCTGCCGCCAAGGGTACCTTTTAACCCCAGACTATTGCTAGTATAAATAATACAATTCGCACAACATCTTGGACTCTATTTTTGGCTTTCGGCAGCTTTTAGCTTTTCCAATTAGGTGAAAATAGAGTGACGTTTACAGTTGTTTTAAGGGAAATAAAAGAGAGGAGGTATATTTCATAGTTGTTTTAACCTAACAGCTTATAGCTTGTTTACGTCACATCGCTCACAATAGCCTTTCCACAGCTTACAACTGAACCAACACTATGTGAAAAAGTCACATATCCACCAGCGACGCTATAGACGCCGCACAAAAGCACGTTTGTGATATGAATTTACAGACACGCTTTCCTGACGCGCGTCTGTAGTAAGTCGCTGGCGGGTCGCCGGTCCAGCAAGGTCAACGCGCGTCTCTAACAAGAGCTTACTACAGACGCTCGTTGGTAAAACGTGTCTATGATAGTGCTACAGACGCACTTTTATAACATGCGCCTGTAACTCTATCACATATTATTGATGCCTGTTATTTTACAGGCGCCTATTATGAACACGCGTCTAGAGCAATTGCCCTATTACGGACGCTTATATCTTTCGTACGCGTGTTGGAAACACACGTCTCTAGTGTTTGTACTTGGAGCAGACGCTTCCTATTCTATACGCATCTATAATTAGTGGCAGACGTGTTCTGACGGTGCTTCTCTGTAGTACTTGGCTTGCGGACTTAGCCATTGGCACATGCTAATGGACGGGCAGAGCGCTCAAGCGGGCGGTGGCGGGGGCCGCCTACAGCTCTCAGGCGGGCAGCGGCCGTGGTCATGCGCAACGCAGGCCTGCGGCTCTAAGACACTCGGAGCTCGTTGGCACGAGGCACAGGTGGGTGGCGATCAGAGGGCCGTGCTGCGCAGGCAAGCAACGGCCGGAGTGGCGCGCTGCACAAGCTGGCGGTGGCTGGCATGCTAAGCTCTCCTCCCTTGTCCTTGGCGTGCTTTGCTCTCTGGCCTCCTGGTCCCTAGCGTGCTCTGCTCTGCTTTGCTCTTCGCCATCTTGATCTTTAGTGGATCGTCGGTGTGCTCAGCTCTCCTCCTTCGTCCCGGCATGCTCAGCTGATCTCGATCTACGTCCATCACAAATCGGTTCCATGAGCAGGTAGGTGACCCGGCGAGCTAATTCAGCTAAATAGCTAGTATCGTAATTCTTGTGTGACTATGAAACTCAACATATTCATGGCAGTAGGGGGCCACTGGCACACGCAGCATCTCTACCACCGATCACGCTAGCCAATCTCCCCCGCCGGCAGTGTTAGACATTGAGAGGTGAGCTAAATTTGTGAACTTGCATTACATTGTGAACTATGATGAGCTTGCGTTTGTGAAATTTGTGAACTTGCATTGTCAACTTGTAGCGAAACAAGTAGATTGACTTATATTCTTCCATTTTTAATCTTCTTTTCTAGACTATGTAGGATTAAGGCCACTGGATGTATCTTCTGAACCGTACTTGTGGATACTACTTAGATGGATTGAAATCTTTCCGTTGCAGAGGCGGATATGGTGAATTGATAGAAGTCATCTATGTGGTGCCCATGTGTTGACTGTGAGAATGAGAAGCAATACGCGAATTCGTTGTCAGTCCATGCCCACCTAATCATTCGAGGATTCATACATGACTACAGATGTTGGAACAAACATGGAGAAGAAGGTGTCAATGACCGAGACCAGGAGCAGGCTGCTGGTCAGCACGATGGTGCATCTACACTATTGTTCTTGTCACAGGCACGTCTTAATCTTGTCACAGACGCGTCTTGGCAACACGCATCTCTAGTAAGGGCTTACTATAGACGCGCGTTGACACCCACTAGTCTCTAGTAAGGGCTTATCACAGACGCGTGTTCATTTATCACAGTCGCGTTTTTGTAACACGCGTCTATAGTATATGTTTATTACAAACGCGCTTTTTGCGTGACTCTAATAAGACCTTATTACAAATGCGTGCCTGCGCATCTGTGATATGTTTTTTTTACATATGCAATCAGACCCGTAAGATTAATTAAAATAAGGTTAGGCTAAATCTAGTCAAATCCAACATGATAGCTAGCTAATTATGTGCCTTGTGACTCCACAACGTGATATATGTATGTCTCGTTGCAACAGTGTGGATATATTTGTTGATCATATGGCAAACTTAAGAGAAACTTGAAAAAAAAAAGTTCTGCTGACCGTTATTCGGCGAAGAGTGAGGTTATGGATGCGGATCGAGCAAGCTGAGGTGAGCGCCTGTTCGTGGTAAGAAGTAATAACATCGCGTCGCATCTGGAGTTTCTTTTTTCTTTAACTAGAATCATGCTCGTGTGTTGCAATAGAAATACAAAAAGGGAACAAAAATAATAATAACATGATATTTCATGTTCGATTGTGTGTCACACTATTAACAAAAAAAAATGATATTTCAAGTGTAATGTTCGTAACATTATGTTTTGTAGCCAAAATTTGCTATCCGACGTGGCCTGCCCCGTCTGGTCTCGCCCGTCAAATCCCTGCCTGCCTGCCTACAATAGGTCAGAGTTCCCCCCTGCACCAAGTGCACCCTAGGGCAGAGCTCCCCACCAGCGTCGAGAGCCGCCCGTCACCTATGCCACCCACCAGATATCTCCAATTTCTAGGGATTGATGTATCCCAGGATCTAAAGGAATATTGCTCTTTAGAGACCAATTTCTAGGGATTGATATGTCCCCGGATCTAATTAGCTAGCTCCAGTTTAAATTTGCCCCCCACAACTCGCACTTAGTTGTTGTTTAGTTCGTTGATAGAAGCGGCAATGGGAATGTAATCAGCTGCCCCTGCTACATGTTACATGGGAACGAATCGCACGATCTGTTTGGTTTGCTTTAGAAGGGTTTCCATTTACGGTTGGAGAAGCAGGCCTGCGCATTCAGTCTGCAGTTGCCATGGATGAACGGGGTCTCGCCGCTCGCTCGCCCTTCCCATGCCTGGTGCTCGCTCCCTCGGCCTGGTAGTGTTGGCTGCGGTTCTTGCACCCTTCCGCGGCTGGTCGTTGTCGCCGCGGCCCCTCCTCTTGTGCATCTTTCTTCATCGCCCTGTTCGTTTGGGCTTGTTTGGCTTATAAGCCGTACTTTTTCAGCCAACGAACAGTACTTTTCTCTCACACCAAATCAGCCAACAGTACTTTCAGCCATGGCTTATCAGCCAAACAAGCCCAAACAAACAGAGCGTGTTAGTCTGCTGCTCGAGCTGCCGTGGCTCAGCACGGACCCCATCACGTCGCCATCGTCGTGGTGGTTGCGGGGCGCAGCGCCCCTTCCGCGGCCGGCCATGGCAAGGTCATCAGGGTTACCTCACTGGTTGCTGAGTTGCGACTCGCGAGGGAGAAGAACTCAAAGGAGAAGCCGAACGGAGCGGAGTCCAGATAACGCGCCGAAGGGAGCGGAGTCCGGATAAGGGAGGGTCAGGAGTGGGATCGAGTTTGTACAAGCCTGTAACTGTTCACAACGTGACCGATTAGTCATTGGATCAACCAAATGTGAAGCAACGGTATCCATTCACGTCGTGAACCATTGACGGGCTAAAATGGCTCAACCAAACAGCACCTTATTAGTCATATGTACCCGTATGTGCTTTAAATCTACCAAATAACTAAAATAAGTGTACATGCCTTATTTTGCGGAGTTAACTAGTAATCTTAAGTTTAACCAAATATATATAAAATACTAATGTTTATTATATCAAATAAGTATTTTTATATTAATCGTGCCATATATTTTCATAGTAAATTGATCTAGAGATAGAAATGTTGTTGATAATTTTAATAAATCTACCCAAACTTAAAATTAGTTGACTTCTAAATTATTTTAGGGTGGAGGAGGGACGACTATATATTTCACAAGTCAGACATTTGACACATCCAACACACATAGATGAGAAAAGGACAAAAAATAATGTAGCGACTCTTATTTTGTTTTGTTAGGATCATGGTCAGCAACAACTAGCATATAAGACAAATAGCTAGTTAGGGACGTACTTCCTCCAGTTCATTTTATAAGGTATAGCTTAACAAATAATTTGAAATTAAAACTCGAATTGTGAACCGAAAAGAGAACAAAAGTAATAAATCTTGGTAAGGACTAAATTGGACTAAAATTAAATAGTTGAAGTGACTAACTCAAACCAATAAACATTAGTTTAACAGGTTATCTAGACTACGCTAAAATTTTTGCGGGAGTCGAATGTAGTTAACGAGTTAGGAATTACCAGGGGTACATAGCTCACAGCTGAATCTGAATCTGAGTGAACTGAATCTTGCAGATGTGGATGTCTTGCATGTTGAGGTTAGAAGCTAGTGGTATGAAATAACTATTAATGGAAGATGATGTGGATGACTTGCATGTTGAGATAGAACTTGAGATGACATGGATAGCTTACAGTACATTAAGAGGGTTGCATGTCTTGCATGTTGAGGTTGGAAGCTAGTGGTATGAAATAACTATTAATGGAAGATGATGTGGATGACTTGCATGTTGAGATAGAGCTTGAGATGACGTGGATAGCTTACAGTACATTAAGAGGGTTGGAAGTTAGTAACATGACATGACTATTAGTGAAAGATGATATGGATATCTTGCATGTTGAGATAAAACATGAAGTGACGATTAGTTTTATAAGAGATATAGATGTGAAATAAGTTTCTACGTTTGCAAAGAGACATGACACCCAAGGATAAGGACAAAACTAATCCAGTCATCTTTACGTGTAAAAAAAAAGATGTGAGATGTGAGAGACTAGGATGACTCACACATGTATAAGAGAGATAAAGAGGTACAACATGCAAATAGTGTGAGGTTTTGGACATTTTAGCGTTCATTTGGCCATCCAACTTTCCACGCACAACGATGATCCATAAGCTACATATATATATACCGTACTTTCCAGAATGTCTAGCCAAAACGTAGGTTCTAGTTCTATATAAAGCGCTAGACACCTTTCATAGCACAGCAGGAAGGCAGAAGCACACACACCACCGGCCTGAACCTCGCTTGGCTAGCTAGTAGCGACCATGAGTCACCTGCAGGAGGTGGCATACCAAGTCACCTCTTCACCGTTAGTTCTGGCACAATGTCTCCTATTGCTCCTCGTTCCTCTCCTGCTCCTGCTGCACTACTACGCCTCCCGACGGTCAAGGTCAAACCGCCGTCATGGCAGCAGCTGCAGCGACGACAAACAGCAGCTTCCGCCTTCGCCTCCGGGGCTGCCCATCATCGGCCACCTTCACCTCATCGGCGACCTCCCGCACGTCTCCCTCCGTGACCTCTCCGCCAAGCATGGCCGCGACGGCCTCGTGCTCCTCCACCTCGGCGCCGCCACCACTCTCATCGTGTCATCCCCGCAGGCTGCGGAGGCGATCATGCGCACGCACGACCATGTGTTCGCATCGCGTCTCGTGTCCACGGTCAGCGACGACCTCATGTACGGGTCCTCCGACATCGCCTTCTCCCCCTACGGCGAGCACTGGCGGCAGGCCAGAAAGCTGGTCACCACGCACCTCCTCACCGTCAAGAAAGTGCACTCGTACCGTAGTGCCCGCAAAGAAGAGGTGCACCTTGTGCTGGCCCACGTACAGGAGGCAGCGGCGGCGGGCACAGCCGTGGACATGGGCATGATGATGAACATGTTCGCCAATGATATCGTGAGCCGCGCCGTGACAGGCAAGTTCTTCCGGGCAGAAGGCCGGAGCAAGCTCTTCCGAGAGCTGGTGGAGGCCAACTCTGCTCTGGTTGGAGGGTTCAACCTGGAATACTACTTCCCCGGGCTGGCGAGGTCGTTAGGTTTCCTTAGCAGAAGGTTTCTGCGCAACAGGGCCCACGAGACGCACAAGAGATGGGACGAGCTGCTTGAAACCATACTGAGCGACCACGAGAGAAGAGACTCTATGATGCTTCACCATGACGGAGGTGACTTCATCGATGTGTTGCTCTCCGTTCAGAAAGAATATGGTATGACCAGAGATCATGTTAAGGCCATATTGGTGGTGAGTACCGTAGTATACCCAACAGACAGAATCGATCCTCTCATTTATATACGTCCTGAACTACATATTTGATGATAACTAGGACATGTTCGGTGCGGGCACAGACACGTCATCCTTGGTCCTGGAGCTCGCCATTGCCGAGCTGATGCGCAACCCACAGCAGATGGCTAAGCTACAAGGTGAAGTGAGAAAGCACACACCAGAGGGACAGGAAACGGTGGAGGAAGAGAACCTACCTAACATGCCCTACCTGAGAGCCGTCGTGAAGGAGACATTGAGGTTGCACCCGCCTGCCCCGCTCCTCGTGCCTCGCCTCTCCATATGGCGGACTGCGTCGTCGATGGCGGCTACTATGTCCCCTCCGGCACCAGGGTCATCCTCAACGCATGGGCTCTTGGCAGAGACCCGGAGTCATGGGAGAAGCCGGAGGAGTTCATGCCCGAAAGGTTCATGGACGGTGGCAGCGCTGCGGCCATCGACTTCAGAGGGAACCACTTCCAGTTCCTGCCGTTCGGAGCTGGACGAAGGATCTGTGCTGGCATCAACTTTGGGATGGCTACTGTTGAGATCATGCTAGCAAACCTCATGTACTGCTTTGACTGGCAGCTGCCCATCGGCATGGAGAAGGGTGTTGACATGACAGAGGTGTTTGGAGTGACGGTGCATCTAAAGGAGAAGCTCATGCTTGTTCCCGTTCCCAAACTTCGTGCTACTTCTGGTCACTCCATGCAAGCTGCTGAGGAAACGTCTATGAACTACAATCTACCCAGATTGGACCGGATGTAGTATGGTAATAAATAGTGTACTAATAACTCAATCCGGAATCTGGTAAAAATAAGTGGAATGGTATTTTAATTTGAAGGGAAAAAAATCTCTGTGTTGTCGTCAAGATTTCCTCACATATGAAGTGCTTTCGTCGTAGAGACTTAACTAGCTGGGACCTAAAGATTAGGGATGAAAGCGGGAACGGGAAATTCCCGTACCGACCGACACCGAATACCGGAATTCCCGACCAGATATCATTTTCTCGGGAAAAAATGGATTCGGGAAGAAATCCGGGAAAATTCGGCGAATCCGATATCGAAATCAGTTAGAGTGATTTCCCGACCAAATTAGCGGATCCCGTATTTGTCCGGTAAACCTCCCGCGGGAAATTCCCGTTTTTCCCATGGAGCAGCAAGGTTTGGCCCAGGAAGCAAGGTTTGGCCCCGGAAGAGAGGAGGGAGCTGACGAGTCATGCATGCGGCCCATCATTCCATGCTTGGCCCAGGATTTCACGCATGGAGGAGCAAGGTTTGGCCCTTTGTTCATTTTTCTTTTCCATTTTCTTTTTTTGGTAGTTCTGTAGTTTTCTTTGCATAAATATTCTGACGAGCTCACTGTTTGCTATTGTTTGCATATAGATTATGCATGGTTGCTATTGTTGCATCGGGCTCACTGTTTCCGGTGGTTACATATATCGATGTTTCCGTTTTGTGTTACCACTTCCCGATCATAATCGACGCGTTCCCGTTCAAAATATTCCGTTCCCGATATCCCGTAATACCGGATTCGTTTTCCCGCCTGGCCTTCCCGTTCCCGTTCCCATTCCCGGCCAAAAAATACAGGAGCAGGAATGGTTAAGATATTTTTCCGACCGTTTTCATCCCTACTAAAGATGGTCAAATGGGTGACACGACACTAGCACTATTTGGCGCGGCCGGCACTAAGGAGCTGTTTGGTTCGCGCTTTTCAGCCCCGCATCGATTAACAGCGTGATCAAAGAGACAACCTTGTTTCGCGTTTGGATGGCCCGGTCCGTAATAGATGACACCGTGAATGGATCCGACCTATACACAACCACTCCCCCTCCTTGATCTCCTGCCGTTATCCGCTCCTGACTCGGGAAAAAGAAATTCCCCCCACCCCCTCCCCGGGCACGCTCCTGGCTTGTAACACATGGCTTTGTTGATCACAGTTCTGAAGCCAACCAAATGTCGCTTTCAGTTCCCCAGTAACAATTTGCGGCTGCAACTGCTCCCATTACCATTGCCGTACACAGCACTTAACCAAACAGCAAGCACGGCTTTCTTAATTTGTCATACTGTCTCCAACAACCGTGACACAAAATACAAGACCCATTCGTCCTTTGGGTAGCGCTACAGGCAAATGGTTCAATATATATTTTTGGTCTTCTCCAACAACAAGACTCAAAAGACAACCCTTTCTGTAAATGGGTCTCCAGGAGAGATGATACTCAGATTTAGGTTATGCCTCTCCTGGCACCTAAAATGAGTCTTCCATATAGGTAGTCTGTTGGAGGCTATAGGTATTATGTTGGAGATCCATTTTGAAATTGGGTTCTGCAATGGGTCTCGTGTTGGAGGCAGCCTCACGTGAAGCTATTGCCCCGGTCAGCTGTGTGGCTTGGTCTTGATGACAAATTTCTTGGCAACAAGGAGGCCTGGTCTGCCAACACTGTACAGCCCATCAACCGTCACCTTTCAAGTCTATTCTGGCCCGGCTCGCGCGTGGCCCAACGCCAGGTCTTCTTGGCCCTCGACCTCAAGCGTCTGCTGCAGCCGAGCGTTCTCTGCCATTGCTTTTGGTTGGGATCAGCAGCAGCCTGCAGCTCGCGAACTCATTGAACACGATGACGCTCATGGCTCCCTCCCTCCAACACTGGCTGTGTGGTACACATGATTTGGGAGGGTGGTGATCTCTCTATATCACCTCACACGTCTCCTCCTGACATAATTGTTGGCAACGCTTTTCTTCTCTTCTTCTGGTCTTTTCAGTTGGCACTACATCTTTGCCTACTACGTACTCATGCTCCTTTCTTTACACCTTCGCGATGCTCTTATCTCCCCTCAAATTATTAGGTAGCACTTCTGTGATCTTCCATGTAATCAGAGTGACCTGGTTAATTGCATTATTGCGATATTTGGACATCTCCTATTTCCAGTGTCTCGGGTTAATTACAAGTATTATCTTGTTATTTTAATTGACCACTCTCACTTTTTAGGGACATATCCTCTCCGTTTGAAGCCTGACACATCTCGCTCGGCACAGCCCAGTGGTCACGGGTCGCCATGGCTTGTCAGGTGCAGCGGGCCGTGTCATGCCAGCCCACGGACAGCACCAATGGCCCAGGCACGGCCCTAAAGGCCTCGTGCCGTGTCGTGCCGGTCTGACGGCCTGACTGGCCCAATGTGCCAGAGACGGCCAAGGCACGAGCTGCTACGCCGCCGTCGCCGCGGGGGGAGCTGCTGCGCCGCCACGGGCGGGAGCCGCTGCTGAACCGTCGTTGTGCATTGGGAGCTGCTGCGCCACCGCTAGGCTCTGGTTGTCGAGCGCAGGTGAGTGTGTGTGTGTGTGTGTGTGTGTGAGAGAGAGAGAGAGAGAGAGAGGCAGAGCCGGGATGGGAGGCGGAGAGGAAGCGTCTAGATGGGAGGCGTAGAGGCGATGCCAGGATGGAGAAGGGCATGCACAGCCTCACGATGGGTATAACGGTGACCGCGAATAAGAGCTGCGGAGTGGAGGAGTGCGTGCGACGGAAGTTGGGAAAGAATGTTGGGTTTACTGATTGAGAGATAAGGGTGGCTTACATGGGCCTTCACTGGCCTACAACTTATTGGGCCAGGCCGGGCCTGCACGCCATTCCGAGGGTGCAGCCCAGGCACGACCCTAGGGTCGGGTCAGCCCGGCCTGGGCCCGACGGCCACCAGGGCATGCCATGCTTAGGTTGGGCCGTGGGCAGGCCATCGGGCCTAGTGCCTTATGGCCAAGTATACATACATGTGATATCATTGATTTTATATTTTAGGTGTGCGGGTGCTGCACCGCGTGCCCAACATCACAGTTATGTTGATACAGTGAAACTGAAAAATGAAACCAAGGCATCTAATAATCAGACTACGGATGATTGCGATGATGCATGCGTGAACAACGTCTAAAATTCAGAGGACATATATACATATACATAAATATATATGTCGTTGTCATGTGGAACACGTGGAAAATATGTCTTCATCACGTGTATTTGCCACAAGTGGACAAGAGAAATTGTAGTCCTGGACCATCAAGGATGATTGTCTTCATCACGTGTATTTACCAACTTCCAATGATGATTGTCTGGATTCCATCGGCTTTGAACAATCCTTGCTGATCACCTTCTATTGGCGTCATCGACCCGAATACTTGATTTTCGGTTAAGTAACTGTTTCCTGAGCTGATGACAACATCTGCAGCTTGATCAAATAGCCGATACGTTACGCCTTTGAATATAGGTAGGTCCCGCCTCTGCTTTGTGCTTCAATCGGATACTGCTGTCAAGCACCGTGCTTCAGACTCCAAGCATCAACGTGGCCATGTGCACATGTGTGGCATTCGGACTTTATCTCTTGTACTTTTTAAATAATCTCACATGCAACTACGTAACTGGTAGGCAAAGAAGTCAATTCTTCTTCAACTTCCTTCGTACGTGAATTCCAGCTTGCCTCATAATAGTGTCGAATACTTTTCAATATTGGAGCTAATCCCAGACTTCTCAAATGATTGTAATTCCACCGTGAACAAGCTTAGGTAATAAGCCGATAGAATATGCTTAACCAGAGCAAAAATCCATCCATCGGCTATCCTTTGTTATTACCTCCATCGGCTATTTATCGTATCAAGAAACAATAGCCGATAAAAAGAATTCAAGATATAACCAGAAGCTACATTGATATCCATTGAGGGCTACCGGCTTTAAATTATAAATGCTCATAGCCAATAAGGTCATCTCATGATGGCTTCTCAAAGTACTACCACCAATTTTCCAAAAATAGAATCTTGCAACTTCTACTGCTAGGAATTCTATTAACAGCAGCCCTGGCAATATATTTTCAGAAGACATTGGTTAATATTCATACCTCATTGATCACATTGGTTGTGCGTACGCCAAACTGTAAATAGCCGAGACGCTGATATTAGCTGGCATCTCTTTAGACCACCTTTGTAGAAGTATCGGCTGCCTAGAT